CACACACTTTTCATGAAATGTTAGGCTAATCAGTAAATGAACCTATTAATCACAACTACCCAGAAACATTAAAAAAAAAAAATAAACTAGCATTTTTTTTTTTTTTTTTTTTTTTTTTGAGACAGAAGCATTTTCTGAGGAGGTGGACAAGGCAGGAACAGAAACAAGAAGCTCAGGGGCTGCTGGGATACTGCACTTCGGTGCTAGTCCTCAAATTGCCACCACTGATGGTAAAGGCCTCAAAAGTTGCTCTCTGTCTCTGGGCCTCAGTTCCCCCATGAGTCTCTGTGTGGACACTGACACTAGGTGTGGCGAGGACTTACACCCACCCAGTCACTCGCATCCTTCTCTCCCTCACCTGGCTCTCCTCAGTGCCCCATTCCCAGCTCAAAGACCATTTCCAGGAGGCCACTGCCTAGCTGGTCCTGGACCTTGGCCCCTTTCACCCTCCCCTCCACAGGAACAGCTCCCAGGCAAGGCTGGTCCCACCTGTTTCTTGGGAGTCAAACCTCAACCCTCCATAGGCTGCCCCGCTGTCCGGGCTTAGGCCAGAAGGGGTGCCTGTCTGCACAAATCTGGGACCACGGGGCACCCTAGTGACTTATTCATGCATACCTTCCATCCTGGGTATCCTAAGGTTAGGGAGTATAGTGTGTGCTTCTAGTGAATACCAATGTACGGAGCGCACACACTCGGGACCAAGGATGGGGGAAGAAGGTGCCTAATTCCTCTCAGCGGGGTTCTGAGTGGCGGCCTCTCTCACCCCCACCCCACACTGCCACAGTAGAGAGGGACAGGAGCCTCTTCAAGCCCCCAGCTCTGCCATCCTCCACTAGGTGGCAGCACCCAACTCCGAGCGTCAGGAGAGATTCCCAAAAGGTGAGCGAACTCAGCTGCGAGTGAGCAGGAAAAGTGGCGGGGAGAGGCGGAAGTTGGCCGGTCCCACCCCCCACGAGAGGAAGTAAGGGAGAGCCAGACACAACCCGGGCGTTCGGTCACTACTCCCTAGTCCCCGCTGCCTTGGAGGTGGGCAGGGTCTCCAGCCCACTCGCAGCCGTCTGAGCTCCGGGACCAGGGCGGGCGCCTCTCTCGCTCCCAGGCACCCCGGGGACCACCCACCACCACCAGCAGCTGCAGCACCTGGGCCGATCGGAAGCCGGCTGGAGAATGGAGTGGCCCCTGCTTTGGGGGAAGGGGCTGCAGCTTCCGGGGACGCTGGAGAGGGAGACAGCCTCCTTCTGATGGGGGTCACTGCAATCACTGCTGACTCCCACCCCCGGTAAAACTGCCTCCAGTGCATCGGGAACCCCCAAAGGAGCTTCTCTAAGCCAGTCTTCTCTTGCCTCCCGGCTGAAACTCCGGTGGAACCTCAAGCCCTCGCGTCCTCCCGGCCGGACCCCTGGAGCAAGCGAGAGGTCTGCACGGCCGCCCTCCTTACCTGTGACCGGCTCCGCGCCCGCTGGGTAGCCTCCTCCGGGAAGCTCGCGGACTAGGGCCTGACAGTGCGATGGCCCGCCCACCTCAGTTTCCATTGGCCAGGTGTCCGGGCTGTCGCGCTCCTACTGGCTATTGGTCGACGTAGAGGCGGGGCCAGCCTGGAAAGCTGTGCTTTTTTTCTTACTCAATTCTCTTTCCTGCCCTCCCTTCCTCTCTCTTCCCACCCTCCCCCCTCTTTTTTTTACGGGATCATGTGATTGGAGAATCATGTGACGTCCTGGGCCGGCTCCGCCGGGCTGCGGGCGCCTGGTAGTTTGTCCGAGGTGGGGCCGCGCCTGTAAGAGGACGTTGACGGACAGGGAAGCTGCCCCTTACACGGTGCATTCCAGGGCGTTCATGAGATGTCTGCTTCTGGATTAGGGACATTCGTGCATCCTGTTTCTACTCTGTTCAACGAACTCGGAATAAATGCTGGGTGGCTAGGCCCCATAGGGGTTGAAGGAGGGTTGTGAGGGCAAGGATAGACAGCTCTCAGGCCCTTTCCTCAGGGTGCTCACAGCGGGGCGTGAGTGGGTGGAGAGATGAGACAGGCTCACATTAAATCTAATTTAAGGTGCAAGGTCGTGTGCCAGGTGTTATGGGTGTGTGTAGGTCAGAGGTGATAGGTTGGCTCTGGGCAGGGAGGAAAAGATTTAATTCCACCTCAAGGGCACCTTTTTTCTTTAAGATTTTATTTG